TTCTTGTGCTGCCCAGGCTGGCCTTGAAATACAGACCCTCCTGCCTGTCTCCCAAGTAGCTGAGACTATGCACCACCACAGGATTAGTTTTCTGTCCCCCCTCCCCCCCAAACCAGGGATTGAGAACTCAGGCCCTTGTGCTTGCCAGGGAAGGGCTTATTCTACTGTGCCACCTCCCCAGCCCTTATTTTTCTGTTTTTTTAAAATACCACTGCCCATTTCACTTTGGGAATTTACCAATATATAACCAGTTTCTGCTTCACCCTCTATGTAAGTTTTTTCCCCTTAGATTTGCTTGCAAAAGAATTTGCTTTCAAAATTCTACTTCTGGGGTTGGGGAGATGGCTCAGTAGAATAAGCACTTTTCTGGCAAGCGCAAGGCCCTGAGTTCAATCCCCGGTTCGGGGAAAAAATGAATCCACTTCTTATCAAGATATTAGGACAGAAATCCACCTTTCCAGTTGAAATAGCTAATAAATTAAAGCATTAGAAAAATGGTACAGAGGCCGGGGAGATGGCTCAGTAGGATAAATGCTTGACTGGCAAACACAAGGATCTGAGTTCAATCCCCGGTTCTGCAAAACAAACAAACAAACAAACAAAAACAAAAAAAGAAAAATGGTACAGAAGACACCAGGCATCGGCAACAAAGGGCAGCCACAGCAGACAAAAGCCGAGGTGAGCCCCAGGGGCCCGCCTGGAGAGCTGTCGGAGGCTGGGGGGGGGGGGGGCGTCCAGGCGCAGGCCGAGGGGATGGCGCAGGCAGGCGCCCCAGAGGCCCGGGGGCTGCGCTCGCCGGGCACATCCCGGGGTGGCAGGACCTGCGGGGCTTCTGCGGAGCCCGCGAGAGCTCCCGGGCGGGGTCATTGCTCTGACCCGGGAAAAGACCGCCACGGGCTGAAGAGGAGGGAAAAGTCCTCAGCGCTCACGCGGGGCTGGGATAGTCCTGTTCTGCAAGTGCAGAGGGTTGACACTCATCTGCGGGGCGCCGGCTACTCAGCGCTCAGCAGGGTTTTGCTTTAACGTTGGAGAAACAAAAATCAAACTATTGAAAGGCACTGAATTAACCTTGCCAAAAACATGATTTGGTTTCCAGCCCAGGTCCTCTGCTGTCCAGGGCGGAGCTCCGGGTTTGCGGGCGCAGGTCCCCGGCTCTATCTGCCGCAAGCTGACTGGCTAGCACGCTTCGGGTCCTTCACCCGCAGACGTCTCGGTCTTCGCGACCGCTCAGAGCGCGACCGCCGCAGCGCGCCGCCCCCCACTGTTTTGGGCCCTCCCGGCCTCCGTCCTCCGCCGCCCGCGGGTCACGTGCCCCTCCCCGCTCACGTGACCCGCGCTCCTGTCACTCCGGCCGCGGGCGGCTTCCTCCTGCCAGAGCCTCCCTCAACGTCTCCTCGGTCGCGGTTCTTGCCGCTTCTGGCCCCGACTCTCCTCAGCAGCTCGAGCCCAGGCCGCGCAGGAAGCGCCCCTCGGCTGGGACTCGGCGCCGCGCCTGACCTGGCCTGGACTTTGCGCCGCCGCGCCCGTCCTGGTCCTCGGTGCGTTGCGGGCCGCCGGGGTCGTTCCGGGCTCGGCGCCCGCCCGGGTGCGGCGACCCTGCGCTTTCTGCGGCTTTCCCGTGCTCGCTCCTCGGGCGGGCCCCTGCCGTCCTCTCCCGGCCGCGGGGCGGGGACGCCTCGTCCTTGCAGGCCTCAGCCGGTGTTTGAGAAGGGACGGACGGCGCTGGGGCAGGGCGGGGGGGTGCG